CCCCGAGCCCGGCCCCGGCCCCCCCCCGGCCTCGCCCGCCCCCCCCTGCCACGGGTACGGCGGCAGTCTGTGTCGTGCTGCTAGCATGTTGTCATTACACGCTCCAGGTCCCAACTCCCGAGGAAGGCCAATCCTGCCCTACCCTACTTTACAGCCACACTTCCTGTAGATGGGCATTTATTCCTGTGCTGGGAGGCATTAACATAAAACCACAAGCCCCTGGGCAAAAGCAGCCATTAGCGTAAAAGGGGCATCTTTTTTTATTTTTCCCTCCCAGCTCCATAAGATGCGATTTAGCCCGAGGGCACGTCCAAGTTACTGCCACACCTAAATGAACGGTGTTCCCTGTGAAAAAGGAGCCCCCTTGCCAGGAGGAGCTACGGGGCGGCAGAACTGCCCGAGAAAGGCTGGCTTGGCGAGTGGACGGGCTTGGTGGTCCTGAGGGCCCACGGCTCCAGTGAGCCTCTCGGGAACTTCTGGCGGCAGCTCCTGTGAATAACGGGTTTAGGAGGAATCAGGAAGATCATGGGTCGTTCTCATGTCATACAGTCAAGTGACTGCACACTAGGGCCAGAATAGAAATGTTGCTGCAGCTGCCCGGCAGTTGGTTTTAAACTTTGGATGAACCAGGAATAAAAGCAAGGGAGGGGGGCAATTACACCACTACCCCCCCCATCTGCCTCCTCACTTCTCCCCCGCGGACTTCACTGCTAAATCATTCCCCACATCCCTCATTAAACTTTCAAGTCACTTCTCTTGCAGCAGAGCACTTCTGCTCCTCCAGAGAACTAGGTCATGATAAAGAAAGCTTTTAACCAAACTTTTCACTGTCCCTTTGATTTCATTCACACTGCTTTTTCCTTTTTTAAAGAAGTTACATTTTGGAGACTTGGAGTAAAACACACCCATTAAGATACACGGCAAGGTACAGGCACACCTCTCTCTCATTCAGTTAGTCTATAAAAGAAAAGGACTGCCAGCAGGAGCACAAGCCTCTGCACCTCCAGTATGGTAGTATTTACTAGAAAAAACACACACTTCAAGGGTAACATTGGTCATTTCTTTATAAACACACCCCAACCCAGTTACCAGAACTTAAATAGCAAATATTGTAGAAAGTAAAAAAGTTGTATTTTTTAACTTCCAATCACCCCTCCCCAGCTACCTCCTCCCCACCATGCTGCTAGGCAAGAAGCTAAGTGACTTCTGAATGCTGTATGAAGGTTAGCTGGCTCTTAAATGTCTTTTATTTTCAGTGCTGCTCTGCTGGTGCCATGGCATAATTTCCATAATAGCATTAATTCAAACAACATGGGGGCTATAGTCCTAGAAGGAGCCTCCTGGGCCATCAAGTCCAGCTTTCTGCATTCAGAGGAAAGGAAACTCCCAAATCACCTCTTCAAATCCTCATTCATAACTACAAGGAAAAGGAAGAAGCTGTATTAAGCTCCAGCCACTTAAGTCACCAAAATGAAACATAGCTCAAAATACAGCAACATGCTCATTTTCTCTGGGCCTTGCTCTTCCTTTGGTAGGGCTTCAACACATGCATTTACCCTTAGGACTTGCTTCTTTTGTGACTTTCTACCCTCCGTGATCCTCTTCTGTCTTACACGAGAAATGGAGCAGTTAATTTAAAACGTAAACATTTATCACGGTATTTGACCTCTTGCCTGTCAGACATACTGTTTCACGCTAATCCCTGTCAGTTACATGATCATAGCTTTGAAGCGTCTTCGCAACTGAAGCAGGGATTTCAATACAGTAATAAAGATACAAGACAATACAGGGAACAATGCAGCACCTTTAGAGAAATGCCAAGACAGTATTTTGGCATGAACTACTGGAAACTTGATTCACGACATTGTTTTTTTTTGCTTTCCAAGAAGTGTATTTCTTCATTCTTTTGAAAATGAGAACCTGCCACCTCACTGGCCTAAATATAGCCAGCCCCTCAGGCTATTTTGCTTATGGCACTTGCTCTCCCATAATCATTTTCAGCTAGTGTAAAATCTTTTAAATCAGAATAACTTAAAAAAAAAAAAATACACCTTAAAAAGGAAGCACCCCTGTTCAACACAGACTCCACCCTGTATCACTGGGTGATGGAAACTACTAACACCATATACACAGAACAGCACTGTTTCTGACATTTAGAACATATGCTCCTACACATGGTGTTTATTACTTTATCTCCAATATAGATTTTTTTCCCCTTGTCTGAAACTGAATACAAGCATCATTAAAAACAAACAAACAAACAAACAAAAAACAACAAAACAAACTATCACAATACCCCCCAGGTAAGGCACTAGAAGGATTCCCTTACCTTCCATCAGCTGAACTATTCACATGCTGAAGAAACTTAAATGGAACCAAATTTGGGGGAAATTAAAACTAACACCTTTCCATGTATGTACTGGGCATGTCTACATGTGCACCAATGTACCGTAATTATGGCACATTAAGTTTAGTACCTATAACAACAGGTACTAACTCAATGCACAGTAACCAGTGTTACTGCATGGTAGCACTGGCACATGCCTTTTTAGTGACGCTAATGTACAGAAGACTAATTCTACAACAAATTAGCACAGCACAGCTTTTGCCATGATGTGCTAATGCATAGTAGAATTAGTCTGTTGCGCATTTAGCACCTCATGTACATGCACCCACTGAGTAGTTCCGTACAGTAATGGAGTTCAGGAAAAACAGTTAGCAGACTTATTAGAGAAATCCTAAGAAAACATTATCCTGCCTGCATCAGTTTCAGACTTGCTTATTTTGCTTTAAATCCCATCTCGTGCGATGTCCCACAATGCTCAGCTACACTTTTTATTTTCAGTTTCCAGATAGTCCATGTGTCCACAGTGCTTACCTGTTCCCTCATTCACAGAAATCTTTTTGATGCTTATAGAGTACTTCAAACACCCTTGGCATTAACCATGACCTAATTTCAAGGCATCTGTCTGAACACTTTAAGGGGGGACCAAAGCACAAATCAAAGATGTGGTAGTATACTGCATACAAGCAGCCTTCAAAAGAAAGCTGAATAAAATTAATGATTCTCAAGCCCCTGGTACATGTTGTTTGTTTGAAGGTGCTGTGGGATCTGATTCTCAACCGCAAAAATCATGCTTCCTGTCACGCCACACAATCCCAATCATGCCATTTCTACTTGTCAGTAGAAAGGATCATAATCCTGTGCTCCCCCTGCACCAACATGTTGAAACCCAGGTGCCCACAGGTAGGGGGCTGACAAATGGCTGGCAGCCCCAGCCATCCTACACGTTCCATTTAAAGGTGCCACGCAAACCAACCACAAAACATTCTACATTATATGTAGAACATGTTCATGGATGGTTTGCCATTTTATGGCACCTTAAATTTGCTGTGGAGAGGCAGCCTCAGAGGAAAGTGCTATAGATTGGCTGCATCAGTCAAAACAAGCCATCTACAAACTTCATTTTTATTACGATGAAATAAAATGATGGTTTGAGCTGTGAAAGTGCTTTCTTGCATCACTCCCTCCCCTCTTTTTCATATTCTTGTGACAATGTATTTTAGCAGAATTTGCACATTTGTTGGAATCTGACAGCTGCACCATGAGCACTTCTTCCATGGCCTCAAACTTGCATCCTATGGGCTGTCAACAGTGTGCCTTAGCACCTGCTACACCCTAGCACCTGCACCACCCTGACTAGCTTTGTATGTAATGTTAGACAGACTCAAGAAAGACTGGCTTGTGGTTCATCTCACAAGTAATGAAGCTTACATAGAAGTTTCTGTGGACTGGAGCGCATGTTCTTTATTAGGATAGTGCTTATTGTTTATGAAACACCTGCTGTACAACCATCCCGCAGCACACACGCGTCTGAAGTCACCAGCACCCAGCCACTTGATGCCACACCAAGGAGACGTGACTACAGATGGAGAACAAGAGGCTGAAAATATCTGACAGAGAAAAATAGACACACCAGTGCCAACTTTACCTCTGGTGAATCATGAGGGGCTGGTGAACCACAACAAAGGTTGCAATGTTTCAACCACCTACACACCCAAGTGGAATGGCTCCAAAGAACTAATGAAAAAGTGCAGCTATACTATTGGTTCAGCCACCTGTGACTGCGGCACAGAGCCTGACTATGCAACACCTGCTGCTTGAAGGCACATGTACAATGAAAGATCTTGCAAAGTACAATAAATGAGCACAAGCATGTGCAACAAAATGGTCAAATATGGCATAGTGATACGGAGAAAAGAACAAGTTCGTTAGGCTGTTCAAATTCCTCTCCATTTATAAGTGGTCCTCTGTGCTTAATATTCTCAGTAGTGTCAGAGTGATGTTGTAGCCCTGATAGCTAAGGGATTATGTGAGACGCTTCTGTGGGCAGTATCTTTTATTAGACCAATTGTATGGCTGGGATGAAGTGAGACAAGATTTTAAATGCAAGGCATTCTTCCTGCCTTGCATCTGACCATGCAGTTGGTCCAATAAAAGATATTATTTTATAATAATGACAAACATCCTTGTCCCTTGCTCTTTAAAACTCCCTTTAAAGAGAAATCTGCAAATAAGTCACTTCAAGAATTAGTAAAGAACCAATTATTTTGTTTGTTAACTGGGTTCTCATATTTCTTCTGCAAGTAGTCTAGCCTCCACAGCTGGTAAAGCTGTGATGAACAATTTTACTGCTGTGCACTTGAAAAAAAATTCTTGACCCAAGAAACCTAGGATAATTTATCTTGCCTGAAGGTTAAGTCGAGTTCTGCCTTATAGACTAACTGAATCAGAGATGCATAAATCTGTGTGATACGACCCTATCTTGCCTTCTGCCCGACTTCAGACAAATAAATCTAACTACTCCCTTCATCTTGCATGGATTATGTAGAGGATACTTAACGCATGCCAACTGAAGACAACTCTTTTGCTTTGTACTGCCTGCAGAATTTTGAGGCAATACTGGATCAACTGCATCAATTCAAATAGCACAAACCTGAAAACCATTCTTGCACTGTGAAAGCATAGTTTCTCAGTACTATATTTGCAATGTCACAAGTTTAGGGCTTAATCCTACTGTTCCAAAACCAGAACTCCCACTTAGCTAACCTGGACTTTAGTATTTCTGCATTACAAGTAACAGATCAAATTATTCCACACTGAAGCAACTGTTAATGAAGCCAAACATTTGAGGTTTCATGTATCACTATAAACAAAAACCTAGTGAAAGAGAGAAAATCCTGAGCCAACTCATACATTTAAACCAAAAACACTTTGTCATGACCAGGGATCCTGGTTTTTCCTGATAATGGATTAGACAGACAGACAGATAGATAAAAAAAACCCAAATCCATAATTAAAATTAAAGGCTCCCCACAGCCCTCCTGGTGCCCCTAACTCCTCCAACAGCCCTCCAGCCCTACTGGTGCCCCTCATTCCCCCCACCACAGCTTCCCAGGCCTACTGGTGCCCTCCCCCACCCAGGTCCTGCTTGTGCCCCTTGCCCCACTCACAGCCCACCCCCCAGCTATGCCAGAAGGGGCCCCCAGTTGCCCAGGCTATAAGGCCAGCAACCCAGGTCCGCAGCCCCCTGGCCCTGACAGAAGGCAGCTGCTGCAGGAGAAAGAGCACTGAGCCAGCTCAGCCCCTGCTACAGGCTCAGGGAGGTGCAGGGGTGGGCCTGGCTTCCAGTTGCAGCACACTCCCAGGGAGTGGGGGGGGGGGGAAACACGACGACCCCCGCCCCCCCAGATCTGTGCAGGGTGCATGCAGGCTCGTGTTCCCTACCCTGCTGCCCTCCCCCGGGGGCTTCTGCAGCACAGTGTGAGACCCGGCACAGCCGCGCAGGAAAGCTGCTTGTCCGTGTGCCCTGGCGACGCTTCCCCTGCACATGTGGGCAGCAGTGAGGAGCACAACCCTGCGCCACCACCTGTGCATGCAGAGGAAATGTCGCCGGGATAGCATGGAGCTCACGGGGGCAAGCAGCTTTCCTGCGTGGCCCCGCTGTGCCCTGCCGCACTAGGTATGCGCCTGCCCCAGCTCTGCGCACCACGCTCTGGGGGACACTGTTTCCCCCGTCCCCTGGGTGTGCACTCTGGCAGGAAGCTAGCTCCACCCCCTGCCCCTGAACAAGCCACCCATGGCCTTGTCCTGCTCCCCACCGGGGCTCCGAGGCCACACATTATGGCCCCAGGCCTCAAGACCCACACACTGCCCAGCAGCCCAGTCCTGCCCAACTCCCTCAATCCCCGTCACTTACCTGCAGAAGCTGCTATATATGCACATGGTGCCCCCTGCCTGACCATCCTGCTCCTGCTCCCTCCCAGCCCCCTGCAGGCTGGAATTGTGCCAGCCTGTAGAGGGCTTGCAGCAAAACTACAAAATCTGTGGGTTTCTCTGCTAAAATGAGAAATCCACATTTTACCATTTTTCTGTGGAAACGGAAAACCCAGATCCCTGGTCATGACTGCTATGGTTCACGACGCCCAATTTAAAAAAGTGACATTAAAACCTGAACTGTACGTTAAAAAAAAAAAAAAAAAAAATCCACAGGCACAAGCATTTCCCCTAAAACTGTTCCCTTCAAATTTTATTCTGTATCCTCTATAAGGTTTCTTTATAACTTTATAATTTGTACAGTTTCATGTACAAAGATTCCATATCTCAAAGGAAATAATTCCTTGTATGAAGTTTTCATATATCAATATTAGAATCACAGCATTTGCACCCGTGATATTTAAAAAATCCATTGGACAAACCATGTAGAAATAAGTATGCAAAAATTGCAAACAAAAACATTTAAGTAGCCAAAATTAAAAAGATCCTTGTGTGAATCTACAGTCTTGCTTGATTCATACTAGGCTATTGCAGCCAAGTAATCTTTAACCTCAGTTGGAGTAAGCCTTCTAAATCCTGCTTCATTACAGATGCCAACTTCTATGTTATCTTCTGTCATTTGCCCTTCAAAGCTTTCCTATTAAACAGAAAAAGAGAATTTACTTTGCTGTACCAGTGATTTAATAAAACAGTAAAACATATTTGTTAAATCTCTCTCTAACCTTTAGTGTTAAGATAGCCGTATGTATGGCATCCTCAAGTTCCAAATCTTCATTGTATCTGTATAAATGAGATTAATATTTTAAATCTGCAAAATACAGAATTCTCTCAAAGCCCATGATACCCAATTTATTTAGAGCTTTATACTTATAACCTGAATTAGCATTATTCTTGTTAGCTAAACTGATGGCACACACTTATAAGACTGCCAATACACATTTTTTCATGCAACTATCCCTCCCTCTGTACAAAAGCTAACGAATGAGTAACAAACACAAACCCCCTACAAAAACCCAACAACTTTTTGGTATCCGTCTGTAAACATGTTATTAAAGCTTTTAAACAGTTTAAATTAATACATATTGTAACCTAGCTGTGATATTCCAAAACTTGAACACAGAACCACATCTATATTTTTCTAAATTTCTTTTGGTAGGCTCTACAGGCATTACCTTTTTTCAAGAAAAGTTTTTCCATTCACATAATTTTTTCCCATGGCTGTTGCTTTCCAAGCAAAGTAAGCTCCCTGTACAGATGAAAACATTAGCCCAATTACATTACACTTAAAATGCTTAACTATGGATTCATAAAATACACTACTGTTTATGAAATCTTATTGACTTTTGATATTTGGGCTGTCACTCACAACCACTGTTTGAAATACTTACAATGTGCACTGCTAAAAATATATATATATATTTTTTTTAAGATATTCCATACCTGCAATGTTCGTTTGACATTTCCTTTCATTTTAAAAAAGTTAATTTGATGTAGATCTCCAAAAATTAATGCATTCTCAATTTGGAATGATTTAAATAAAGGTGAGGTGTCTGGACAATTAGGAATAAGACTGAAATATATTCGTCAGACCTACTTGTACAGTGCAGTCAACACAATATTTCTTATGAACAAATGATGAAACTGAATAGCTATTTTGGGACTGATTCTATACATTAATTTAACATGGGGCTACCCACGGCTTCATACAGTCCCCAGTCAGGGCAAGGACAGCGTTTGATGCCATTTGGAGTCAGAGAGAGAGAGAGAGTATATTCTTACATTTCCAAGAAAATAAAGCTTTATTAGACCTTGCATTTCATTACTCATGCTACATTTTAACTACTTAGAGCTCAGAGTCATTAGTACAACTAATTTTTTTCATGAAATACGAGGTTATACAAAGTAGTCTGAACATAAAATAGATAGTTCACATATTGAAAACTTTACATCTCTTAAGATGGAAACTGTTTACTCACATGAATTAATCATTTTGCTCATTAAATTATTATACGTAAACTAGTTTTCAAAGTTTAATGATAACTTCGTAAAATTTAGGTTCAACTTCAGATTCCACCTTCCATTCTAGAAAGATGGCATTTCACAAATCTATTTAATACTTAAACTTCTTTCTAAAAGTGCTGAATTTCAGAACAGCAAGACAGTATGTATTTGATACTTACAGAAGGATCAGACTGAAATAAATAGGGTCGGCCCTCATTCCAGCCACATATGAGCAATGATACTCCAAATGGACGTACACCACTATGAGGGGGAAAGGGAAAAAAAAAAAAAGCTACTGCTCAAATCAAAGAGTTCTTAAGATTGTTTCATTGTTTTTGCCTCAACTGGTTATTGCTATATGCCTCCTCCTCATAAAAGAATCAGGCTTTATTTTTTAAAAAAATTTTAAAAGGTCATTTAAAATATCTACTACTCTCCAATCGTTACACTTTCAAAATACTAACATTACATTCCACCTCTGACACACAGATCATCTTGTGATGTGGCTTCAGAGGCACCGCATTTTAGAGACCTCTCTGGATTAAACAAAAGAAGCAGCAGTTTCCTTTTGATATCAAGCATTTAATAATTATGCTTTACACTTATACAACATCCTTCCTCCAAGCACTAACACAAAAAAACCCTGCTCCAGAAAAATAGAGTCAGTAGATTAAGTAATTTCTTTAAAGCCTATTATAAGCCTCCCTGAGACAGAAAGGCAGAAATTCAGTTAAAAATATTACACTATTTGGTTAAAAAAAAAAAAAATCAAAATACTTCAAGTTGAGCAAGAGCTGCTTACCCAGACTGTGTGTACTCCTGCATCACAGAAGCAATCCTCTGTACTAGCTGAGCGGTTGGAATGGGCTCATGGTAAACCAAGTAATATTGTTGGGCCAGCTTCCGAGCTCTGTGCACAAGTACTCTAAAATGCAATATAAATAGATTGTGTGTGACAATATCTATTATTAGAACTAAAGATAGCTGTTCTACTGCAATGGTACAATGCTCAGGTAGTGGTTTTCAACCTTTTTAGATGCAGGACCCATCCCCTCCCCTCAGAAAATGTCAACTTTTAAATTTACACTCTATTTTGACTAAGGAAAAAATAAAACATTTTTTCTGTTGCAAACAACTCAAAGACGACAACAGGTCAGAGTGGTTTTAATGCTATAGATTTCTATTTGAAATCTTTGGGTATTCTGCATCTTCAGAAAAACCAGGCTGATGTAAAGAATAAATGCAATTTCTATTGGAACACATTAAGTATCAACGCAAAACACTCTTAGGCATTTAAGGACACGTGAAACCATATCCAAGCTTAGATCATATTTCTTTCATAAACGATTCTCCTTATTATTTTCCTATTCACTTAAGTGGAAACATGCCTTTATAATCCAACTGTTTCAGAGAGCACGCATATTTTAAACATACATTTTTCAGACAGTATATTACATTAGAGCAGGCTTGTCCAACATATGGCCCGCCAAGGCATTTTCTGAGGCCCGTGGTGCTGCTACGGGAAACAAAATTAAAGAGTTTACTTTCATTCCCACCCCTTGTCCCTCCCCCAGGCCCTCAGAAGCTTCCCAATGGCTGCTGAAGGGCTAGGGAAGGGACAAGGTTCCCCGCACGCACTGCGTCAGCTTGACGTTGCTGACGCGGTACTTGTGGGAAGAGGAGTAGCCATGTGCCTCTCAGGACAGGATGAGCCCAGCTGGATCAGCAGGGGCTCAGCTGCACTTTCCCCCTACCTGCACCGGTCAGTCCCGAGCAGTACACAGCTCTGCTACTTCTGCTGGCTGGTGCCAACCCGGGCAGGTCTGTCCCATCCGGAGCAGCATGCAGCTGAAGCCGGCTTCCCACGTGCTGTTGGGGACGGGAGGAGGCCGGACAGGTCGGCACCAGCCAGCAGAACTGGGAGCGGAGCCGCAGGGCACCCGGGGACG